TGATGTAAGTAGTTTGGAAATATTTTCTCCACTCTGTGGGGTGTTCTTTCAACTTTAGAGACATATATCTATTGATGACAGAAGCGCTTTTTAGTTTTTATGAGGTCATTTTATTCTAATGTATTTTAGTTGTGTGCGCTGGGGTTCATTGCGTAAAGTTTCTTACTATACCTACTAATCTAAGGAGTATTTCCTACTTTCTTGTATCAACTTAAGAGTTGTGGTCTGATATTTAGATCCTTGATCCTTTTGAGTTAATCTTGGTATAAGGGTGGATATAATGGATCTAGTTTCAGTTTTTTTGCAGACTGCTAAGCCAGTTTTCCCGCAGTTTTTTGTTTGAAGAGGTGCTATTTTCCATCGTATATTTTTACTCTTTGTCAAAGAATAAGTTGCTTATAGTTTGTGTGAGCTTATATCTGGGTCCTCTGTTCTGTTCCACTGTCTTCATGTCTGTTTTTGCCAGTACCATGCTGTTTTTATTGTTATTGCTTTGTAATATAGTTTGAAGTCATGTATTGTAATACCTCCTGCATTGTTCTTTTGACTGGGTATTGCCTTGGCTATTCGTGGCCTCTTGTGTTTCCATATAAATTTAACAGTAGATTTTTCAATGTCTTTAATGAATGTCATTGGAATTTTGATGGGAATTGCATTAAACATGTAGATTACTTTTGGGAGTATCGACATTTTTACTATGTTGATTCTACCAATCCATGAGCATGGGAGATCTCTCCACTTTCTATAGTCTTCCTCAATCTCTTTCTTCAGAAGTGTATAGTTTTCCTTGTAGAGGTCTTTCCATCTTTTGTAGGTTTACACCTAGGTATTTGATTTTTTTTGAGGCTATTGTAAATGGAATTGTTTTCATACATTCTTTTTCAGTTTGCTCATTGTTAGTGTATAGAAATGCTAATGATTTTTCTATGTTGATTTTATATCCTGCTACCTTGCTATAGCTATTGATGATGTCTAGAAGCTTCTGAGTAGAGTTTTTTGGGTCTTTAAGGTATAGGATCATGTCGTCTGCAAATAGGGATATTTTGACAGTTTCTTTACCTATTTGTATTCCTTTTATTCCTTCTTCTTGCCTAATTGCTCTGGCTAGGAATTCCAGTACTATGTTGAATAGGAGTGGAGATAGTGGGCATCCTTGTCTGGTTCCTGATTTTAGAGGGAATGGTTTTAGTTTTTCTCCGTTAAGTATAATGCTGGCTGTATTGTATTTCCTTTTATTCTTCTTCTTTGCTAAGTTGCTCGTGCTAGGAATTCAGTATATGTTGAATAGGGTGGAAGATAAGTGGGCCTACATCCTTAGTCTGGTTCCTGATTTTAGAGGGAATGGTTTTTATTTTTCTCTCCGTTCAAGTTCATAATGCTGGTGTAGGTTTGTATATATAAAGCTTTGTACTAATTTGAAGGAACTCTCTCTTCTATTTCTAGTTTCGTAGAGCTTTCTCAAACATGAAATGATGTTAGGACTTTATAAGGCTTGTTTTCTGCATCTATTGAGATGATCAGTGGTTTTTGTCTTTGGCTTCTGTTAATGGGTTTATTACGTTTATTGATTTTCATATGTTGAACCACCCTGCATCCCTGGGATGAAGGCCTACTTGGTCGTGGTGAATAATCTTTATGTGTTGCTGAATTCGGTTTGCCATTATTTTGTTGAGGATTTTTGCATCAATGGTTATTAAGGAGATTGGCCTATAGTTCTCCTTTTTGGAGGTGTCTTTGCTGGTTTTTGGGATAAGTGTTAATGGTTCATAAAAATGTGTTTGGCAGTTTTCCTTCCCTTTCTATTTCTGGAACAGTTTAAGGAGGGTTGGTTCAGTTCTTCTTTAAAGGTCTGATAGAATTCAGCAGAGAATCCATCAGGTCCTGGACTTTTCTTTTTGGGGAACTCTTGATTGCTGCTTCAATTTCATTTTGTGTTATAGGTCTATTCAGGTGATTAATTTCCTCTTGGTTCAGTTTTGGATGATCATATGTAATCTAGAAATCTGTCATTTCTTTTAGATTTTCAAATTTATTTGAATATAGGTTCTCAAAGTAGTCTCTGATGATTTCCTGACTTCCCATGGTGTTTGTTGTTATCTCCCTTTTTGCATTCCTAATTCTACTAATTTGGTTTTTTTTCTCTCCTCATTTTAGTCAGGTTTGCCTGGAGTCTGTCGATCTTGCTTATTTTTTCAAAGAACCAACTTTTTGTTTCATTAATTCTTTGTATGGTTTTTTTGGTTTCTATTTCATTGATTTCAGCTCTTATTTTATTATTTTCTCCTTCTATTTGTTTTGGGATTTGCTTGTTCTTGTTTTTCTAGGAGTTTGAGATGTATCATTAGGTCATTGAATTTGGGATCTTTCAATCTTCTTTAATATATGCACTCATGCTATAAACTTTCCTCTCAAGACTGCCTTAGCTGTGTCCCATAGGTTCCGGTAGGTTGTGTTTTCATTTTCATTGACTTCCAGGAACTTTTTAATTTCCTCTTTTATTGCATCGATGATCCACTCTTCATTAAGTAATGAGTTATTTAGTTTCCAGCTGTTTGCATGTTTTTTGTCTTTACTTTTTGTTGTTGAGTTCTACTTTTACTGCATGTGGTCATAGTATGCACGGTATTATTTCTATTTTCTTATATTTGCTGAGGCTTGCTTTGTGCCCTAGGATATGATCTATTTTGGAGAAGGTTCCATGGGCTGCTGAGAAGATGTATATTGTGTAGAGTTTGGATGAAAATGTTCTGTACTACATCTACTAGGTCCACTTGATCTATTGCATATTTTAGATCTTGGATTTCTTATTGATTTTTGTTTGGATGACCTATTATTGATGATAATGGAGTGTTAAAGTCTCCCAACCACTGTGGTTGGCGTTTATATATGCTTTAGGTCTTTCAGGGTATGTTGATGAAATTGGGTGCGTTGACATTGGGTGCGTACAGATTGATGATTATTATTTCCTTTTGGTCTATTTCCCCTTTTATTAGTATGGAATGTCCTTCCTTGTTCGTTTGATCAATGTAGGTTTGAAGTCTACTTTGTCAGAGATAAGTATTGCTACTTCCTGCCTGTTTTCGGGGGCCATTGGCTTGGTAAATCTTCCAGCCTTTCATCCTAAGCATATGCTTATTTCTGTCAGTGAGATGAGTCTCCTGTAAGCAACAAATTGTTGGATCTTCTTTTTTAATCCATTTTGTCAAACGGTGTCTTTTGATGGGTGAATTAAGTCCGTTAACATTAAGCGTTAGTACTGATAGGTATGTGGTGATTCCTGCCATTTAGTTGTCTTAGTTGTTTGAAGGTTTGATTGTGTGTACCTAACTTGATGTTACTCTCTACTGTCTTGCTTTTTCTTATCCTGTGGTTTGGTGCTGCCTGCCTTTTCATGGTTAAGTTGGGTGTCACTTTCTGTGTGCAGGATCCCTTGCAGAATCTTTTGTAATGGTGGCTTTGTGGTCACATATTGTTTTAGTTTCTGCTTATCATGGAAGACTTTTATTGCTCCATCTATTTTGAATGATAGCTTTGCTGGGTAGAGTATCCTGGGGTTGAAGTTATTTTCATTCAGTGCTCGGAAGATCTCACCCCACGCTCTTCTTGCTTTTAATGTTTCTGTTGAGAAGTCTGCTGTGATTTTGATGGGTTTACCTTTGTATGTTACTTGAGGAATTTTCTTACACTTGTCCATTAGGCTATATGAAACTTGAATGTGGAGGATGATTTTGTTTTTTATTGTTTCAAAAAATGATTTATTTCAGGAAATACAGATGTTGCTTCCATTCTAGGAAGACTTCTTTTGCTCTTGGTGGTGCTGGGCATTGAACCCTGGCCTCATACATGCTAGTCAACAAGAAAGATATTTTTACAGCACAAAATAGTGTCTTCTTCTAGAGAGAGAATAAATTATGAAACTAAAGATAGTTATAGAAAGCTCCAGATCTTAGGAAAATGACCTTTTTTTATGCTGTATAAACATGCTATCATTTTGCTGAAATACTGGTGCACATCTGTAATCCCAGCACTTAGGAGGCTGAAGCAGGAGGATCACTAGGTCAAGGCCAGTCATGGCTACATAGTAAGACTCTTGTCTCAGAAAAACAACACAGAAAAAAGTACTCTATCGTTTAAATATGAGCGAATCCATTTTCAGAAATTAAGGTAGCTTAATAAGAAAAACAAATCTAGGACTGGGCATGGTGGTTTACATCTGTAATTCCAGCTACTCAGGAGGCAGATATAGGAGGATCTTGGTTCAAGGCCAGCCTAAGCAAAAGTTAGCTAGACCGTATCTCAAAAACAAGCCAGGAATGATGGTACACAATTGTAATCCCAGCTACTTGGAAAGGGGAGGTAGGAGCATTGCTATCCAAGATCACCTGTAGCAAAAAGCACAAGACCCTACCTGAAATACAAATGAAAGGAAAAGGATTGGGGCTTGGCTAAAGTAGCAGATTATTTGCCTATCAAGCACAAGGCTCTGAGTTCAATCTCTAGTACCTACAAACAAAAATAAAACAAATCTAAAGTTACTTTAAAAATTGTAGGGTAAGTACAAAATATTTTAAAATGTTATCTCTCTGGCAGTGGAGTATTAGCACACAAGAGTTATAAAAGATGCATTAAAATACAAGGATACTCTGTTCATAAATTAACAAAAAGGCAAATAAATTTAGCCTTGGAGTAAAGGCAGCTCATAGCAGCATCCAGATAATTATGCACTAGGGTGTTCTGGGGATAAGACATCTGCAGCCATTTCCCAAAGGTGGCTGGGGCTTGCAGCTCAGCCAGATTTAAACAGAAGAACCGCAGGAACTGCAGGGTTGCACCAGCACCATCGGAGGAATGTCTGACACAAACATATTCATTCAACATGGAATTCATTGTATCACTCATGTTTGCTTTAATCTAGAATGAAAAATGGAGGCCCTGGTTGCATTTTCTTGTCTCCTTCAATTATTGAACATGTTTTACAATCTTCTTATTTTTTTTAATAGGGATCACATGCAGTGGTCTAAAGAAGAAGAAGAAGCAGCCATAAGAAAAGTAGAGGAAAACTCAGCTGTGCGAGTAGAGCTGGAAGAGCAAGGTAGCCAACTACACCTGGCTTCTGGAACCCAGCTTCTCTGCTTGACCTTCTGGTGTCTCAGTTCTGGTGGCTCAGTTCACACATAGTCATCTTTCCTCCTCTTGGTGTTGTTGCTATTGAGAGTTCTTAGCTTCTACCTAAGATACTCAATTCACTTCTTCTCTTTGGTACAATTCCAGTTCTTCCAACATAGTGGGATCAAAATTAATGAAATAAATTATGTATTCACCCTATAATTGGTCTTTTGGTAGTCATGTTGCTTTTTCTGGGAGATACACATATGGATGGCATTTTAAGCAAGATATGAAAATATAACTAACATTTTTTCTCTTGCTATGCTACTTTCAGTATGCTGGTGTGCATTTCTCTTGTGAGGAACTTTGAACAAATCCATAAATTCTTAGTGAAAAAAATGAAGTTATACCAAAATGTTGCTAGTCTTTTGAGGTAAAGTTTCAATAAGAATTAAAAGCACCTTTTTTGGAGGCTTTTGTAGTTAGAGTTTAATTAAGGTAAGGCCTTGCCAGCTTTCATAAATGACTTCTGAAAAATTGGCCTATGCCACTATTAACAACATCATCAAGAATCAGTAAATGACAAGTGCTGACAAGGATGTAGAGTTTAGGAGCCTTTGTGCCCTATTGGTGGAATTGTAAATGGTACAGTCAACTATGAAAAACGATATGGAGATTCCCTTAAAAGTTAAAAATAGAACTTCCACATAATTCAGTAATTCACTTGTAAGTTATATCCAAAAGAAGTAAAAGCAAGCTCTCAAAGCAATGTTTGCATTGCCATGTTCCTAGTAGCAATATTTGTGATAGAAAAAAAAAAGAAGGAAAGGAGGGAGGGGAGAAAGGAAAGACAGAAAGATATCTGTGTCCTTCTCAGTGCATAACTGGGAACCCACAGTCACTTTGCCCAACTCCTGTACTCTCAGTATAGGCTTTTCTACCTTATTTTTCTTAAAATGACTTTTTTAGAGCATGTTCTTTTTTTTCTTTTCTTAAAAATTAGTTTGCTAAAGTACCAAATACATACATAAATTTATACCATTCAAAATGAATCCTCTCAAAGTTCAAAGAATGTTTACCAAGTGAATACATTTATATAAATAGCACCCACCTGGAAAAAGAGAAAATTACCAATAACTTAGTGGCTTTGTCATGTTCCTTTCCCAGATATGGAGCTCCTCCCAACCCCTCATATTTTACAAAGAGCAGCCACTCTTCTGACTACTAATATCATAATACTATGAATTTGTTTTGCTAGAACACCCTGGTTCTGGTTCTGGTCATTATTTTTTTTTTGGTGGTACTGGGGCTTGAACTCATCACTTCACACTTGCTAGGTGAGTGCTTTAGTGCTTGAGTTACATTTCCAGTCCTTTTTTGCTCTGTTGTTTTTTGTTTTTGTTTTTGTTTTTGTTTTTTGCTCAGGCCAACCTGGACCACGATCCTCCCGTTTTACACTTATTGCCATATTTGGGATGACAGGTGCACACTACCAAGCCCAGCTTTTTTCCACTGAGATGAGTTCTCTTGTGAAATTTTTTGCCTGATTGGCCTCATAACACAAGCCTCCTGATCTCAGTCACTCTTGTAGCAATATCAGTGTAACCTAATGGTAGATTAAGACTTAGCAAACTGTGGCCTATGGGCCAAATCCAGTTTGCTGCCTGTTTTTATAAATAAAGTTTTATTAGAACATGGATAATTATTTGTTGACATACCATCTGTGGCTGCTTTTGAGCTCAGATACAGAATTGAGCATTTGCAACAGAGACTGTTTCCCATAAAGACTAAAATACCTATATGGCCTTCAAGATTTCCCAAGCTCAGAACTAGAATTTTGTTCCTTGATTGAGCAGCTATCCTGAAACTCCCCAGGGAAAAATGTTTGCATTCCTCAGTGTAAGCCAAGCATAGTGAAAATCACTATCAGTGATATTAGTCTATAATTGACGCTGAAGTTTGAAGCAAAGATAGCTGGAGAGACTGAGCTTATGAGACAACCCCCAGCCTTTAACCAGCAAAGGAGCCAGTATTGGCCTACCTTGTCCTCTGATGTCATTTGTAACCTGTCTTATCCTGTAGCATCATTTTCTATTCCTTAGAGATAGTTCTCCTTCCTCATCCTCAGCATTAATGTGCCCTGGGGAGTGGACAGAAAAAAAGGACACCTGATCCCAGTGGAATTATTCTATTTTTATGTGCAGTACCAGAATGGAATATAGCCAGGGAGTGTTGGAATTGGATTTGAGGATGCATACCAGTGGCAGTGCTGCCTACAAATCAGCCAACATTGCATTCCTTTGCAGGAACTCTGTCACACTGTTTCTGAGGAAGTATAACTTTGCTTCTTTGCCAGCAGCTGCACAGACATATTTTCCACATTACGCAAGCTTCTGCTAGTAGCCACCTGGATGTGACAGAGAAAGTCAAGACTAAACTGAATTAAAAGTTATCATTCATTTTAATTCATTTCCAGGAAATTAAAAATTATTCACAGTATATTCCCTGATAATATGAAAACCAAGGATTTTTTCACTGTCTTTTGAATATTTCTGTTCAGAACATAAATAGATGAGCAGTGCTGATAATGTTCCCTTAAAGTGCTCAGTGCGCGGCTGCCTATTTTGTCCTATTTATGTTAACAATGAACTTGAGTGAAGCTAATGAGAAGGTTATTTTAGAGCCTCAGAAACCGCAGTAAAGGAAAATGACAGTTCCCACAGAACCATAGTGTGACCAAAATAGAAAGGTGGTGACTGGCCTCTATAGAAGCAGGAGAGGCAGGAAGGAGAGGGCTAATAGTATCACTTTGAAGCATTTGATTTGCTTATTAGTATGTCCAGTGTCTTTCTGAGGAAGTTTTCTTGCAGCTATGAAGACACAGAACAAAAGGTTCCATTTTAAATGACTCAAAGAGGTAGGAGTTTCACTGGGTCCTCTCCCTGTCCACCTGTGACAGTATAGTGCAGTGGGTTTCATGGGTGTCATGGGACCACTGCAGAGGGAGGAACAAATTATGAAGTGATCATCTTTGCACAGAGCAGTAGCTAAGGCTACCAAGAGGGTGGAAAAGGAAGAAAACTTGTGTTCCGAGGAACTATGCTAAGTGACAGGCTATTACAATGAGAACCACCCAGCACAGTTTGTGCTAGGCATCACAGACCTACCAGTCTGCAGAAGTCTGGGTGAGGCTTCTAATTTGATATGTAATATCTCTGGTGAATATGGGTCAGGGTGAATACATCTGTTTAAAAACTCTGCTCCCAAATGTTGTGAGAACCCCAATGAAGCCTCGACCTGGTTCTTCCTCCAGTGCCTTTGTTAACCACCATCTTTTTTGTTTGTTTTTTAATCTAAGACAGTTCTAAGTCCTTGAAAAAGCCAATTTTCTGCTATCACAAAGTATTCTGTATGCAGATCATATAGCAGGAGCACTGTTTATTGATCTCATCTTGTTTTATTAGTGCCATTGGGAGAACATTCTGGTTGTTCTCCAACTGTGGTCAACTCTGGCACATTTCTTTTGGTCTCTGTGTATCACACTCTCTTCTCCTTTCCCATTTGGCTATTGTCTCAGCTGTTGGTGAGAACCAGTCAGGAAACACCCTCACAATCTGAAAATAAGATCTTATGTGTCACAAAGAATAATCTTTTGCTGTAGGATGGTTGATGTCTCATTTCTGTAATTAAAATGTATAGCATCCAGGCTCTTGTTAGCAATATTTCTTTCAATTAGATTGCCCAGATTAATGATTTTTATTTACACATTTCCCTTTCATAATTACTTTTCAAATTTTATTATAGCTCATATTTCTTTTAAAAGCAGGTTAACTCAGAGAAATGAGAAAGGTACATTTGGCAGTTTTTGAGTTAACATGATTATATTTTATAATTTCCTTTAAAAAAAGGATCTCCAGTGTGTTATATCTCAGCTGGTTATATAGCAAATGTAATGGGTTTTTAAAACTTAATAACATAAGCAGCTGCTATTTTCACTTTAAAATATCCTTGTAAATAACTGCCTATCTAGGGTAAGTTATCTATGTCAAGCAAAATGATAAGAGCCTCACTATATTACTTTGTAAATACCTTAGCACTTAAGGGAATGTTTTATATGAAAAAAAAATAGAGTAGCTAGAAGTTTTAATGCTGATATGGAGTACTCATTTATATGATAGCTTTGGCTATTTAACATTTCATGCAGTGCTCTCAGAAATACTCTTCTAATTTTATAATTTTAGGAGTTTTCTTTTATTAGACAATGAACTTCATCAGTGACATGTGGAAATTTCCAACCTTGAGAGCTCAGGTATTTGCGTAATTGAAGTGCAAAAATAACTTTAAATTGCTTTTTGTTACATGGCAACTTAGAATAAATTTTCATAATTCATATTAATCATATCATATATGCCAGATACATAAATGGTTTAATTCAGTTTTTTAGTTATGTTCAGAGTGATGAATTCTGAATATTTAAGTATAGTTAGTGTGCCATATTCCTTTTTCCCCTCAGCAGTATTGAATTTAATAAGTGAGTAATTGAGAAGTTGCTTCATCTGTCTGTGCTTAAACAGATCACTATATCCTTTTTACTGTCTTCGGCATAGAGCAATTAATTCTGGACAGTTGGCAACTTAGGACAACAAAAAGAAAAGAATGTTCCTCCAAGAAAAATGACAAGATCAAGACAGTGCACTGTCATTAACCAGAACTTGTGTGACTGGTTAACAGCAGATTAAGACTGAATTTTTCACTAATGATCAGAGAACAACTCTTCCAACTTCTCTGTTATCATTGAAACTCTGGCAGTTTAGGGAATGAAATCATCTCCTGAAGATGTTTGATGTCTCATGCTCATAATTGTGATGAGTTTGATCAACCTTATGAGGGGTCTCAAAAGCTGTCACACATTCCTGGGATCTGTGGAGTTACCATTATTGATTGGAGATACTGCTGTAAGCACAGCTTTTAAAAGGGCAAACACAGTCTAGTCAATTGGTACTGCTTCTCTGTTTTGTTTCTGTCCTACAAATCCATCTATTCTCATAGAGCATTTTATGTTCTTGTTGCTCATCAAAATTTCATCATATAACTTTGCATTACTTGTACTTTATATAATTCAAATAATAGGATTTAATTAATTCTGTATTTCTGATCTCTTTTCGTGAGCATTAACTCCAATCAGCAGTATTTTTACAATTTACTTACATTGATTGTAATTCACACTGAGGTTTTAATTTCAACCTGATGTTTCATAATTGAGAGGAAAATAAGAATCAAAAAAGTAGATTATTTTCAGATATTTTGGAAGGTGTTCATATGGACTTTGTGTTAAGATGTAGAGTAATTGTTAAGAATCATGGGCTTAGGGGCTGGGATGTAGCTCGGTGGTACAGCGCTTGCCTAGCATGCATGAGGCCCTGGGTTCGATCCCAGCACCAAAAAAAGAAAAGACAAAATAAAAGAATCATGGGCTCTAGAGTTTAAGGCTTAGTCTGGGTCCTGATTCTGCTCTTTTTAGCTCGGTGACTGGGGAAAAAAAGGGACCTTTTTGAAGCCAGAAAATGAAACTGAAGCTGAGTGCCAACAGCACAAGTTTACTCAATGGCCAAAGAATGGACAAGTGGGAGTTAGGATCAACAATCAACTTCTCAACCTGTTGGGGATGGGAAGATCATACATAAGGGATAAAAGAAATAAAGGGGAGGAGGAAAAGGGGACCAAGGAGTAGGAGAGGAGTGGATAAGAGAGGATAATAAGGATATGATGAAGTACATTATATGCATGTATGAAAATGTCACAATGAAACCCAGTATTTTGTACAATTAGTATACTATAATAAAAAAGAAATGAAAGGAATAAAAGGCTAATACAGAGGAGGAATATTCATGTCTTTTCTGGGAATGGGCGGAGATTTCAAAGAACTCAGATACCACACATTTTTTATTTCATTTATGGTCCATGCATCCTGTCATGATGGGATGATAGGTGTGTCAGTTTGTATGGAAATTAGATTATAATGAATATAAAGGTTGCCTGGCAACTGTCTTAGATCCAACTAGTTTCAGCTAGCCCACCTAAAGAAGAACTTCTGGCCTTTAGGCATCCGGTTCTCAAAGATAAACACGATTAGGGTGTGGTAGCAATTCAGTTAGGTCCTGTAGTACACTGGGTAACAACATTATTAGGATTAAATGGAAAAAAATCCAATTAAAGCATTTGACATAATGCCTGATACATCACAAATATTCAATGTGTGTTATTACGGTTATTTTTAATGCTTCTATTACTGGTATAATGCTTTATATAATTATTTGATTTTTCCTTCTACTTTTTGAGCAGAAAATTCTAAAAATATGGCTCAAAAATAATAGCTATATTAGCAAAACTTGACTATTTCTTCTATTAGTAATCTAGTTCTTTGTCTTGTTTTTGAGATGGGACCTTGCTATATAGGCCAGGCTGGCCTCAAACTTGTGCTATTCCTGCCTCAGCCCCTCGTCAATACTTTTGTAAAGATTACATGGGCTAGAGTTGAATTCAGATATCTGATATGTTTGTTATGTGATTCAGATACAGTCACATCACTACAGATTAATTTTCCTTATAAAGTGTACAAATTAAAACACTAGTACAGGCTCATGTTAAAATAGAAATCTGATCTAAAATTGTGTAAATTATAGAAGTGATAATGTTTGTTCTCCATAAATTTTGGGGGTTAATAGGAAAATACATAGGCTGTAAAGATACTCTCAGCTCCCTCATCAAAGGAAACTCTAAGGAAGATGAATGAAGAGTTCAGCTAAGATTATTTTTATGTAGGATATATAGATACAACTTTGCAAAGGATAGAACTATTTTATAATCATTAGCTTATTGCCATTGCTCCAAATTTTCATCTGATTATTATGAATGAATATAAAATAAAGTTTATATCACCATTCACTATTATGTGAATGTTTTCTCTTAATGTTATCCACTTTTAAATTGCTATATAAGGTTGCCCTGTTTTGACCTGCATGGTTTGCTTGCTCATTCCCATTGTGTTGAGCACTGGAGTTATTTCCCACTTTTTCCTATTATAAATAGAACTGCTATACACATATATTTATCACATTACGCCCATGTACTCCCTACTCCACCCCAATTAATTCCTAAGGGGAATATATCCACAAATTAATCAGGGTATAATATTAAATTCTAGTTACTGATAATTAGGCTCAAATTCACTTTGCACATAGCTTGATATTGGACACCCAAACACTATAAGAAGTAGAACTTAGCTTTAATTGTAGGTCTTCTGGTTGCTTTTTATTAGGCAGAAAGAAACTTTTACCTGCATGGGGTTTACAAAGAGCGTTTTTAAGGTAAAGGAAGAAAAGAAGGTTTAAGAAGACCCTTGGGAAATTTGGAAGTTTTCTAATTTCTCCTGAGTCTAATTTTCAGAATGTTGTTTTGTTTTCTTACAGAGCATGTCAAGTATATTCCAATTGTTAAAAGTGGGGGCTAAAACTATTTTCAAGATAAATATACACTTTTAGATTAACTGTAAATAGACTTCCTTCCATTAGTGCAGATGTGAACATGTTTTGGACTTAACATCACATAGTTCTTTTGTTATAAAGACCCACTATCATTTCTGAGAGCTTAAATACTGCCTTTATGGCAGTCTTGCTGCCAGATAGAATTCAGCCTTGATGGGAAGGAAGTCTTGTGGCTGGATGGGTGGAGATCCATGGTACAAGGCCATAAAGATAAAAATGGAAAGAAGAAAAGGAAAACCATAAGTGCTTTGGGACAAGGCTCTATAACAAAGATGGACTGACTGCTGGTAACTGCTCGTTCTGAGGGTTGGAATATCTTTAAAATTATGAAGGAAATGAGTCCTTTATTTTAGTTTTAGTGTAACTTATTTTGAGAATGGATAGTAAATTCACATGGATCGAAATTCAGAGGAAGGGGAAGGTGAAGGTGTGACTCAAGTGGTGGCAAGAGCACTTGCCAAGCAAGTGCAATGCTCTGAGTTGAAACTCCAGTACTACCAAAAGAAATTCAAATGAAAATTCTTGAAACCATACTCCCTGGTTACTCTGTTCTCCTCCTTAGAGGCAACCAATGTTACCAATTATGTGATTCTTCTTAAGTAAGTATGTATACACACATACCTATATATTTCTGTATGTATACATACATATAGTTTTCTTCTTCTTTCTTCTCCCTTCCTCTCCCTTTAACTTTTAGTGAATGGTTGCATAATATATTTCCCCCAACCCTAAGTCTCCTAAATTATTCTATATCCTTTAGAAAGCTTTTGTATTCTTTGAAAGCACTTTTATAATGCCATGAGTCACCGAGACATAGAGGAATGCACCTGTAATCCAGCACTCAAGAGACTGAGGCAGGAGGAACAAGAGTTGTAGGCCAGCCTGGGATACATAGTGAGTTCCAGGTCAGCCTGGGCCACATGGTGAGACCTGGTCTCAAAAACAACAACCAATGTCATGTGTCTACATTGGTTGAAAGTAATTATTAAAGTAATTATTAATCTATAGATTAAAGCAATGTATTAACCTGTTACATAAAAAGAGTCAAGAAATGTTGATTAGATGAACAAGGGAGGGAGTAAATTATTTTGTTAACATAAGGTACAAATAGGAAGAAACAGAAGGCTAAGAATTGCCTGAAGTTTTGAGACCATTGGTCCATTGGCCCTGGGATGACATCACAAAGTGCTTATTTATTAAAAAAAGCATCAGCTGTTCTCTTGAAGGCTTCATGTTTGGAGATGTTGATAGAAAGAGATGCCTGTGGAAGTTGGGAAAAAATAGTTAAGGAATGGTCTGTAGGCTCTGGGAGTCAGAAGACATGATCTGGTTTCATGGTGATTGGGGCTATAGGACCTCAAGTAAGTGGGTTCAGAACCTGTCTGAACAAGTGGGTTGGAGTAAAGTGTTTCTGTGAACCTCCTAGCTCTAATAATTCATGATTTATAAATTCATAATTTTCTTTCTGATCACTAATTCACACATTTGTCATTGAAAATGTGTTTGTAGCTGGGCATTGTGGTGCACACGTGTAAGACCAGCTACTCAGGCAGAGACAAAGGAGAATCACAAAGTTGAGTAGAGACAAAAATGAAGTGTCCTTTTTCTAAGGTAATAAAAAGCCTTACAGATTATTGGTAAAAATGTGATTGTTAAGATTCCAAGATTATACTGTAGAAAGTAGTTTGCAATGATTATATTCCTCACAAAAAATTGATTGGCCAAACAATTAAGATAAAAGCATACTTACAGAATTAGGACTAAATATCTCACACATTGATATTTTAAAGGGAATTAATGATTTCTGAAGCTTTAACTTTTATCAGATAAATAAAATTATAATAGTAAAGTTATTAAATGGTAAATATAATTGTTAAGTAACAGCATATTTAATAGTTATGAAATAGTTAATTTATCAAATAGTAAATATTATAAGTTATCAAATAGTAAATAAAATTCATAGTAAGGTAAATTTTTTTTCCCTTTTATTTTAGTGAAGTATGACACTGAAGCAAGTAAATACTGGGACACATTTTATAAGATTCATAAGAATAAGTTCTTCAAGAATCGTAATTGGCTGTTGAGGGAATTTCCTGAAATTCTTCCAGTTGACAAAAAAACTAAAGAGAAGATGGGAGAATCATCATGGGATCATGTAACTAATGCTGTGAATGGTTTCTCAAGAATTCAAGAAGAAAATAATCATTGTAAGAAAAGCTGTGGCTCAGCAGATGGTCAGCGCAAAGCAGGGTCTGATTTTTCCAACCCACACTCTGAAGAACACAGCAAAGCATCTCTGAAGACTGACATGTTTCCTGGTAGCAATGCCACCTTCAGAATACTAGAGGTACTGTATTCAGGGGACAATGGTAGGAAGTGACAAAATTTTAAATACATATTGCATATTATCGTGTTAATCATATAGACTGTTTAGGTGAAAAAAGATCAAGTCTAAGTCCTCAGTATGCTTTATATATAAATAATATTTAAGGGACTAAACATGTGTAATCAGTCAAGTTTTAAGTTTCTGCCTTTAATTTCATTTTTTGTTGCTTTTTTATTTTCATTTCTAACTTGAAGGAAATTTTAAGTACTTAAGTTTTGGTCTTAATTGTTACTTTCTCTGTTATTACTCCTTTTTAGGTGAAGTAGAAATAAGTGAGATATATAATTTTCTATAATCTAGTATAGACCTTGGTTTTCTATTTTTGAAACCAAACCCCATCTTTCTGATAATAAAGGTAATATATGTTGATTACTGAGAATTTGCTAAATAGTAGATTAGAGAAATGAAATTATCCACAATTCCACAAACAAATGATTTAACCACAGTTAACATTTTTCTAACTTTTTCCTCCTTTTGTTTATGCTGTACATGCATTTAGGGGTTTTGTTTTGTTCTATTTAACATTATATTATAAGCACTTTATCTTTAAAAATTGTCAGAGCTGGAGGTGTAGTTCAAGCGGTAAAGATGAGGCCACATCTCCAAAATAACCAGAGCAAAATAGGGGGGAGCTGTTGCTCAGGTGGTAGGAGTGCCTGCATTGCAAGTGTGAAGCCCTGAGTATAAACCCCAGTCTTGCTAAAACATAAAAATAAGAAGTTTTCAGTGTTATTCTTATAACTTATTTCATTACCTTTGAATAAAAGTGCTGCCATACTCAGAGGTCCAGTGAACTTCTCTTTTTTTTTTTTTTTTTTTTTAAGGTGGAAAATCTGACACAGTGAGGAAAATTTAATATATTCATGATATTTGTTTATTCTGTTGATTTTAGGTTGGCTGTGGTGCTGGAAATAGTGTTTTTCCAATTCTGAACACCTTACAGTGAGTTTTAAGGTTTTTCTCCTATAGAATTTTACATATTTATGGGATGTTGAGAAATTCTGAAAAAATGCTGTCATATATATGACAGTAGTAATCTTAATTCCTATATCAATAATGGCTGCATTTCAAAAGAAGTGTCTTAGTGACTAAGTTCTCATGAAACACTCTGAAAATGGTGCATAGTCATGGGTTGTCTACTATGGGTTTAAGTAATTTTTAAGCTTGTTATTATGTGGATGAGAGAATAAGAAAAGAGCAAGAGATTTCCTCCTTTCACTATGCTGTGAATTGCTCACCTTCAGAGATTATTTGCTCCTCCTGGTTACTTAGATGCCATTTTACACAGAGGATTGAGTTTAAAGCTTACACCTTAATCCTCATCTCATTTTGTTATCATTGCTGGAGCAACACCTAGTATAATACCTTTGCATGTCAAATCATTATATCTAGGCTTAAGATTGGATGTGGCAACAATTAACCCTAGACTCAAAAAACCAAAAATAAGTAGTGAGAACAGAGATGTTCTCCTGAACTACCCTTTCTGTTCACCATCTCAGCTCTGGTGTTTTAGTATTTCTATGATGAAGAAGACATGCCAAAAAACTCTCCACACACCTTTTGCCTATGTTAGTTGGTCAAGTTGTTTCTATCTTTTTCCAACAAAAGTGTGCACCAGAGATTTCACATCACTTTTTCATTGTAAAATCAGTGTAAGCACCTTGCAGAACATTTCCATTAGGAGAAGAGGGGGTTCACCGATCATCCCCATCATCCTAACATAGCCATTGACAGACTTTTCATTCTGCCTGCATATTTTTAAATTTAACAATGTGATCTTTTAAACTTTCCATTATGAAAATGTAAAAGCATTTGGAAAAGTAAAGAGTAGTAAATGAATTTCCATAAATCTACCACCTTGTTTCAACAATTATTAACATAATGCCAACATCATGACACTTTGTCTTCTATTATTCAGGATGCATCTCTAAAAATTCAGGACATTCTCCAACACTTTAATAAACCTAACATAATAGTAGTAATTACCTAATATTATCTAATACCCAGTTAAAGTGGCCAGGCACAGGTGATACTAGTAAACTTACAGTTCTGAATGGCCATTCTCTTTTTGTATTTATTATTTTTGTTTTCCCTTTTCTGGTTTCTGGGTTGAATTTTTTTGCTCCCTTATACCGCATAGCCAGGTTCTTTTACCGTAGTTTTATCTGAACATCTAATGTACCTGCATATACTACACTGAAAATTGATAGGTTACTTTATGACTCATTTTAGGGTATTATTTAGTATGTCATTTCTTTATTTTTTTGTCTCTCCAACCACATTATATATTCTGTGAGGTGAAGAGCATATTTTATCTAATCTGATTTTCCAGGTTGTCCAACAGGACAATATAGATAGTTGGAGCTCAATATGTATTGATTGTTTAATCTCTGATTCCCTACTAGTTAATTGTATTTTCCCTCTCTACTTTTCCCTTCAGCTAATAATTGCCTGCTCTTTCTGACTTTTTCTTCTTGACTGTGTCTTCTTTCGCCTCATATGCATGTTTTAGAAATATGGTAGCTCAGTAACCAAAGATAGTTAATTCATCTTTAAAAGCCAACCAGTCCAGTGATCAGCCTTCTAGAGGGAGGATTAGGCTTTTTCCCCACCTAAGAAATTGTTTTATTAGTTTTGGAGAGCATAGGATTAATGTTTTACATTTTCAGAATATTTTACCATAATTAGACCTCTGGAATTGAGAGGTCAGCTCATTCTCCAAGGATCATTTAATTCTCAAACCCCCTGCCAAGAGAGTTTTTGCTGGGGTGGTGGTAGTAGTGATATTTACACCTGCTTACTGGGAGAAGAGCCAAGGCAGTCAGCTGATTTTATAGAAAGGTTCTAGAAAGTCATTGGATGGTCACAAGACTTCAACTTTGGATGCTTATGCAGTGGGAATTCCATCTCAGAGGTCATGCTGCCACCCTGGTAGGACACATGGTAAATGGCACATGTTTCCCTTCAGTTCCTAGACTGTTCTGTATCTGGTGGGTATTCAGTAACTACCCAAAGGAGGCTTCAGACCTTTCATAATGAACTAGAAATACTAGCATCCAGAAAAGCATTTTGAATTACATAGAAGTTTATAAAAGACAATAGTAGCTTTTAAGTTCCTGGAAGGCAGATGCAGGTCTCCTTTAATAATAATAATAATAATAATAATAGCAACAACAGTTATAATAATGACTTTTATTGAGCACTTAAGTCAGGTATCTTTCTAGAAACTTTACTTTGTGAATCTATTCAATTCTCACAATCACTTTAAAGATCACATTTATCTCCATTTTAAAGATAGGGAATAGAATTATAGAGAGAATAAGTAACTATCCCTCAGTCACATAACTAAGTGATAGAGCCAGGCATCAAACCTTTGGCAGACTAGATCTTTGTCCTTAGCAATTAGACCATATAGTGCTGTATGCATCTGAGTAGTAACAGAACATTCCAAACACATGTGACCACTCAGCAGTTGTAAGTCACAATTATATGGATGTCACAGGAAACAACAGGGTTATGTGCCAAATATAGCACCATTTTAATTTTTTTCTGTGTATACTTTTTTAAATCGAATTTGTTAATGTTCTAGACTTCTTGTATTGCTAAACCATGCGTGAGAATTCCACTTCAATTAATTTGTTTATTTTAATTTTTTTGGTTTTTTGAAGGGTCTCATTGTGTAACCCAGGCTGGCCTGGAATTCCAGATCCCACCTCCTGAGTGCTGGGATTGCAAGTGTGTATCACCATGCCTGGCAAAGTACTGTTTTTATATAAGACAGATGAAAAAAGACCAAGCAATTCAAGTTTTAACTTTGAGTCAGTGTTAGGTAACTTTTCATAACTGAGTCCTGTTCATCATACTTTAACTTGTTTGAACAGAATTTTTTTTTTCTTTTTTTGGTCCTGCGGTTTGAACTCAGGGGCCTCACTCTTGCTAATCAAGTACTCCACCACTTAATCCATGCCTCCAGTCCTGGACAGATATTAAATTGAGTGTAAATCCCTAGTGCCACAGAATGAATAAGTTATATGTGGCCATCAGTATTCATTAATGAGTATCCTTTAAGAATGTAATCTGAGCCCAGGTGAGTTCTTCTAAATTCATATTTGTGCTTATATTCAGTATTTATTTAGAAATCCACCTTGTTTGAAATGCCTCTTGAATCAAATTAGAAGTCCTAATTTTGTTCTTCAAGGCTTACCCTGTGTCCTGCCACATACTAGTTTGGGCTTTCAGAATCAGCTCTGCTTTTCATCACTCACAGTAACTTCTACCTCTAAACCCGCCTACTGTTGCTTCTCACCATGCAGTGGGAGTGCCATCCTCCTACTGCAACATTTTTAAGACTTATACCTCAGGGCTCTGGCCCTTTCTGCATCCCTATAAAAGTTGTGTAAAAACAGGCATGTCCCCAGCTAAACCATAAAATCCACAAGAGCCAGGAGCATACTTATAATTACTGTTTAATGACGACATACTGACCTTTTTTTGTAATTCAGACATGGTTCTTAGCAACATCATGCAAATATTATTTGATACCAGATATGCGTGGCACAAACATGAGGCTCAATCTGTGTTTGACAATAGTTTTAAAAATAACTAAGATTCAATATATGAGTGTTTTGTTCTTGTTTTAGAAGTTGTATATACATGCCATTATAAAAAATATATATGTTTCTGCCCCATCAGGCATCAGAGCTTCTGAGAGGGCCAAGAGCCAAATGAGTTAAACAGAAAAGAAGAGGAATGAAGGGACACAGGGGTCTGAGAGTCCTTGGAGAAGTGTAGAACTTGGCCAAGTTGAGAACTGCAAGACATGCTGGGGGAGGGACAGAAAAAAGAAGGAGAGTGAATCAATGTGGAAGGAGCATAGCCTTGGAGATTTCCCATGTGGGAGTAAGATGAGAAATAAGGCAGATAGGCCCAAGTAATGGAGGGCTTAACCCAGGACAGGAGTTTAAAAGTTACCCTGTCATTAATAAGTGTTTGAGACAGTGCTGGTTCAGAAGCAACATGAAGTCACCCATGCATCAGAATAGGAATGAGAAGCCAAGCATCATCCAAAATTCTATTTAAAACAAAACAATACAAATCAAGTCCTGGGGATATGACTAAGGGGTGGAATACCCGTCTAGCTAATACTGAAAGAAAAAAAAAAAAGTCAAACCTCTATTTTCCTTACTTTTCTAGTTTGAGTATATCTGGACTCTAAATTTAAACCTTTCTTCCACTTTCATAGGAACACTCCAGAATCCTTTCTTTATTGTTGTGATTTTGCATCTGTAGCTGTAGAGCTCATAAAGGTATGCTTTATATTTTCTTAAAGAGATTCCATATAAAGGTCTCATTTATTCACTTTCAAAGTGATTTTTTTGTTTTTATGGTACTAGGGTTGGAATTCAGGGCCTTGTGGTTGCCAAACAGATGTTCTACGATTTGAACCACTCCACCAGCCCTTCAAAGTGATTCTTTTGAAATATTTCTGGATAAAATGTTATCTGTGACTATTTCTAACTGAGCTTTTATGATTTCTGATGCCTACAATATTAACTACCTGAAAACAATAGAAGTTGTTCTGAATTTAAGATAGATCTCAAGGGACAGGAAGACCTAGAAAGGCCAACAGCACACAGGGACAAACAGAAAGCTACTGACCACAAAATTCATCCTGTACACCTGTTCATGAATAACTATGCTTCAAACAACTTGTTTAAGTTCAGTGGAAACCAGTTAGTCAAGATTTTCATATGGTAAAATAGACCCCAGCCCCCAAATTGAATTTCTCAATTAACTCCTACAAGAAGATCTTATTTATATTTGTATCTTTAAAGTCTTTTCCACAGTCTGGCACATACTACGTGCTCAATAAGTTCAAACTTTTGAAATTAAGAAATCTGTGAAGCATGTGATACAGATCTAAAATGTGATGCAGATCATAAGAAAAACAGTGGGAAACCTGGGCTTTTTGCATAAATCCCTACATGATAGCAAGCATTACCTTAGAATGAAGAAACAATTTTAGAAAATGAAAAAGGAAAGAAAATTCTAACAAAAATGTATGTAAACACATAAATTAAGACTTTTTAATATTAAGTAAAAACTTAATTCCTGATAATAAGATTATTCATTGCAGATATTTTCTAAAATAAAAAGCCTAAAGGGGGAAAAAAATGTACCTGTAATCACACTTCCTAGAGTAAATCAATGTTCATGTGTTGATATATTTTCTTCTAGCATTTATTCTGTATGTAAACTGTATATGTGTGTGTCTCTCTAATATAATATTTTCAAATAATAGCTTATTGAAATAGTTCTCATACCATCCCATTTTGACATATACAACACAGTGGTTTTTAGCATATTTACAGACTAATGCAACTATCACCATTATCTAATTATCCTACACTAATATATAGAGTAGGATATTTATTTTTTAACTAAAGGAGACATGGAAACACCATGTCTGTTTCAGACATTGAGGACCATATCTGTTTCAGTTCCTCTGAAACTATATAGGGTTGGCCTTCAGCAACACTGACTCACAGAGCCTGCCCTACACTTGTAAATTGAAAGAGGCATTATGAGGAATATTTATTATCAACTTCAAGTGCTAGGCTTAATTTTTTGGGGGGGAGGAGGACAGCTTGTAATAAGATAACAATACAGAATTGGAAATAAGTGCATTCAAATTTACAGAAGAAACATTCTTGAGAGAAAACGTAAAACACTGACCTTTTATTTAAAAAAAACAAAACTCTGGGAAGTCTGCTAACTTTCTTTTTTTTTTTTTTTTTTTAATTCCTTCATCTGACAGTCACACTCATTCTACAGAGTAGCCCAGTGCTTTGCCTTTGTTCATGATGTATGTGATGATGGCTCACCCTACCCTTTTCCAGATGGAATCCTGGATGTCATCCTCCTTGTCTTTGTGCTCTCTTCTATTCATCCTGACAGGTAAATAATGACGAAAGGGCAAAGCAAATGTGTAAAGCTCCTTTACCACAGTAGTGGTTTTAAGAACTATCAAAGCAAAATGACAATTCTTGAATTTATTATTTAGTGAACTACATTATGTATAATATGCAGCCTTTTAAATGCAGTTTTTCCTTTCTTCACATTATAAGAAAGAAACTGGTCAAACTACTTCATTAGCGAGATTTCTGTCACTGTCAGAATGAAGTGAGAATATTCTGGCAAGACACATGCCTATTAAAAGTGACAATGCTTCAAGGAAATTACAAATTCAGAACAGCTAATAGACTCCCAAGAGAGAAATTGTACTTGGTGATCAGAAACAGACATCTTAGATTTACCATCTTTCTGAATGTTTGTGAAGAGGTGGGATGTGGATCTGTGTGGCGTCATGCAAGTTTGATGCTAGGCTTTTAAAATTTTTGTTTTAAAGAAGCACACTAAAGAATTCAGGGTTATAGAGATTTGCCAGATTATTCTTGGACCTCTGTGATTTAAAGTAGGCCAAGTACCATCACTCACACACACACACACACACACACACACACACACACACACACACACACACACACACACACACGCCTTTTTTTTTTTGCAGTGCCAGGGTTCAACTCCAGGCCCTTTTGAATGCTAGGCGAGTACTCTACATCTGAACTATATCCCTAGCCCCCTAAATATTTATGACTTAAATTTTATGTGTATACAATGCTTTAAAACTATAAATATAGCTTTTCTCCAGAGAGGAAACATAAAGAGAGATTACACCTACATAAAGAGAGAAATGATCACCTTCCTTAAAATCTTGCTACCTTCTGTGTATTACAGCATGTTGTGGCAAGTATCAGGACTTGTGCTTTTGTAAGATTTCTTAAAACTGTGTTTTCATAATCCCCTGGTAAGGGGTACAGACCTAGATCAACCACTTTCTGTCTGGTCAATGTGACCCTTTCCACAGAAACTGAGTTAACATGTGTTTCTTTGTTTGAAATTACCAAGTCACTAGGACCTTTTACAGTCTTTTTACTTCCCATTTAAAGATGAGCATTTAAGGAAAACAAATTAGATTTCTACATAAACCTAAAAGAAAATCATATTCACACCCAGTGTGTATATTAGATTCCATGAAGCTACTTTTTCCTCTCCATGTCTGCAAGTTATCTCTTTTCTGCTAATCTGCTGGCATTGTTCAAGTACTAGTAGCAAGATGTCATCTATGTATTTTGTTTCCTTATGCAAACAGTTTAAAGGATGGTGTAGGTGGGTAAAGAACAAGATTTCTTATTTGGCACCTATAACAGGAAATGTATAAGTTCTAAATAAGACTGCAAAAAGACTATTGAAATTAGTTTAGATCATATAGTTTCTCATGATTTGAACTGAATGTTAAAGAGAAGGAGAAGCAGATGTCTTGGGAAGATTGCTTTTATAGTATAGTATTTCATTCTGTTTATGATAAAATAAATTCAGATGTCTCCTGTCAGTACCACTTTCTTACCTACATAGGAATGATCTAAAAATATGGTGAGTGAGCTGGCTGTGATAGCATACACTGGAGTCCCAGCCACATAGGAGGCTGAGGCAGGAGGATCACCTGAGCCTAGGAGTTAGAGGCCAGCCTGGGCAACATGATGACATCCTGTCTCAAAAACAAAAAACAACTAATGAATAATCAATTATATTAAAATAAGCTAAGTGAATCGAATAGGCCCAACACTAGGTGAAAAGACAAGGCAGTGTCTTTAGGCTCTTTTAGGACTGTAGTAGTAGAAAATCCAGCCACAAATAAATGGCAGGCCATTCGGCTAGACCCCTGAGTCTGGGGAATCCATCTTTTTTTTTTTTGGTGGTAGTGGGGTTTGAACTCAGGGCTTAATGCTTGCTAGGCAGGTGCCCTACCAGTAACCCTGGGGATTCCATTTTAAACGGAAAAAAATCTTAGGAGGCTACCAAAAAAAAAAACCTAACTGTCCTTCTTGTCACTAAAATAAACTATAAGATACTTTCTACAGATCCAAGTCTACAGTAAAAAGTGAACAAATCTCTTTCCCTTCCTCTCCCTCCACCCAGAAGTAGGTGAGGACAGCAGAGTCATCCCAAGTAGGAGAAAGAAAAGGGGCAGGACTTTGTTCCATTCTTGCCTTGTCCATCCCATCCCTAGCCCAGTCCTACTGCAGTCCTCAAGAGCTGGCTTTGGAGCTGCAGCCTGAACCAAGTACAAGGTGAAGGAGGGGAAGCAGCTCCTCACTTGTTGCCTTCATCCCCAAGACCAGAAATCAAAGGACAGTTGGAGGAAAGGACTTGCAAAGGAAAGTAGCTACATTTTGAAGAACTTTGTTCTTTATTTTTTCTGCATTTTGGTTTTATCCTTATTTTACTAATAATTACAGAGATTTTGCTCAGTAACATAAAGCATTCATCCTAAAAAGCAACTATTTTAAGATTTAAGTTTGGTTTTCTTTCATTGCCAAAGCCTAAGGGCATAAGCACAGTGTGAAAATCACCTGTAATAAAGAGGGAAAAAATCCTTAGTCCTTTTCCTTTTCCCTTTAGTGGATTCATATTCCTCTGTGTGTGTGTGTGTATGTGTGTGTGGTATGTGGGTATTCAACCCAGGGGCTTTGCACATACTAAATATGTGCTTTATCACTGAGCTGTATCCCCAGCTTATGTTCCCATTTTTAAAAAGAGCTTTTCACCTAATCACACCATCTCTTTCTGTTACATTTCTCTATTGTTTTTATAATAGTTTCATTTTCTCTCTACTGCCTTCATAACATGACATAAGCTACCTTTCACATCACTATTACTGAATAGTATTTTAATTGGAAGGAATTTACAGATTTTCTGATTTTAAACTCCTGTTTTCGAAATAAGAAAACTTCAGCAGCTTTAAGTAGCTTGGATTCAGCATACGTAGCAAGAACTTAGCACACAGCTGCCATTTACCATTCTCTGCCCATGACAGACATTGATAATCATTTCTACATCCTGATTGTAATTTCCAGTGAGCTCCATGAGTCTTTCTCAATATACCATGTAGGCTGCTAATTCTAGTCACTCAACATTGATAAGAGATCTGAATCTTTGCCATTCCTGGCCCCAAATCACACATAGGTCATGAACACATAACCAGAAATGCTAAATCAAAAACAGTAGTAAGAGGTCGTATTTGACTACATGCCACATAAGTAGAATAGTAGTAAAAGGAAGAAAACAGGGCTTTCCAGGATTGAGCTGGGAATTGAAGTGTGAGTAAAACTGAGAGAGTAAGAAGAAGAGAAGTTTTTAAAAGAAAACCATGTAAGCAAAGGTACAAGCTGTAAAGCCAAGTGTATCAGTTTGTTTGACTGGAGGAGAGGCTTGAGGTTGGGAAATAGGGGAAAAGACGTTAAAGCATTCATTGAGGTCAGTAGTTGGAGATCCTAACACCTGTCCTAAGAAATAAAATTTTGCCCTATGGATTAAAATCATGAAAGTTTTTGAGCAAGGAGGTAATTTGACAAGACTATCATTTTAAATAGAATAACTCATTGGTAATATGCAAGAAGATTGAGAAGAAGGATAATAAAACATGTCAGGAGGTGATTCTGTTTCCAGGCTTGAGGAAATTGGGGTTTATACCATGGGACTACTGATAGGAAACAAAAGAGCGAGCAAGAAAATATTAAACACGTTATAAAGAAGGAAAAAAAACAGGGCTGGGGGCATAGCTTAAGTGACAGAGTGCCTGCCTAGCAAGTGTGAAGCCCTCAGTTCAAACCCCAGTACTACCAAAAAAAAGTACAACTAAATACTGTTTTAAGGGAATATAACAAAGAGGGTGAGCTTGTTTAAAGTATACTGTATGCATAATGAAATCCCCTTGTAAAACTAATGTATGCTAATAAAAAATAGAAGGTACAAAATTGAAGACCATCTGAAGAGGTTAGTGAAAGAAAATAAAAATAATTTTTACTTCATGAGTTGAATGATTGTATCCTTGAACTAAATAAAGTCAAAAGGAGAGTGAGCTAGCTTGGACAAAATATAGTCCCTCTTTATATGTGTACAATTTGGGATGGCCCTGGCATATTTTTTTTATTTTTCAAGGAAAATAAAACAGGGAGAAAATAAAACAGAGACACCTTCTGTTTCCCTGAGAGCCACTTACTTTGCCGTAAACATCAGGAAACATCTGTGGTTTTGTGGCTCAGCTCTGATATCTGGCGTCAAGTGGTGAAGTTCCCACTCTGGTTATTCATTTCTTGAACTTTCTTGGCCTTTTGAATCTGATCACTTAGAAAGGTGGTCTTTCTTTCTTTAATTCTTCACAAAATATTTTTGTTTTGTTGCCCTTACATTTATGGTTTATAGTTCTTTGGCCTTACTGAGGTTTTCTTATTTTATCTTTTAAAAATTTAAGTCTAGCATATAAAACAATAATTCCACAAACAGAGTATCTTACTTTGTTTTCAAAGGATGCAAAGCGTTGTCAACCGACTGTCTAGGTTACTGAAGCCAGGGGGAATGCTGTTATTTCGGGACTATGGAAGATATGATAAGACTCAGCTTCGTTTTAAAAAGGGTAATAGTATATTCAGTTTGAGGTTATTTTCATCTTGCTTAAAGAATGCCTTGTTTATATTTCATGTCCAATTGTTGCAAGTTTTTGTTGTTTCAAGAAATACCAAGTTCTTTTTTTCACTATTATTTTTTAGGGCATTGTTTATCTGAAAATTTTTATGTCCGAGGAGATGGTACCAGATCATATTTCTTTACAAAAGGTATGCTAATCTACAAGGGGAAATGATTAGCTGTGAAAACTCTCTTTGGTTTTTATTTTTAGGGAGAAACTCAAAATCTATAAAAACAAGGCTGCAGTCAGTCACTGATTAAACATCTTATGTCTTCATACTTTGGTGCTGGTAACCATTGTACATAAAGGCTTGCAAAATGGTCTTTTTGCCTTTTAATCTTTTTCCAGTTAAAACTACTTTAAGGACTCACTTGTTTCACCCTCACACTTATATGTAGGTACAGAATGTAACTTTGGAGGTAGCATTAGCCTGGATATGAAAAAAAACTAATAATATGCATAACCAAAGTAGGGATTTTTGTTTTGGTTTTGTTTTAGTTTTTTAAGACGGAATCTCACCATGTAGCCCAGGCTGACCTCAAATTCTCAATCTTCCGGTCTCAGCCTCCCAGGTAATAGGATTATAGGCATGAGACACCATGCCCAGCTTTGGAATTTTGTAAGTCTACAAAAATTACTTATTGTTAGTCAATTTCTCATTTGAAAAAAAGCATTTCTGACAGTACCAAATGGAGTCCTGCATTCCAGGATTTCCCCAAACTTATGTATATTCTTAAAATGTGCCATTTTGGGTCATTATAAACTAGCAAATGCTCAGAAAGGGGACACCTTCAAAATACTGAAAGCCGCAACCAATAGTTTTATAATCTGTCAATGCCTGCTGTGTTAGCCTGTTTTTACTTGGTATCACAGGGTTTGTCCCCTCCTTTTGTTAGACAGTGTTTCTTGGTATAAATGAAACTTGGATGGTCAATCATTCCATTAATTTTCTGTTGTTCCTCACCTCCCCTCCCAGTCATGTGCCATGTCTTTGACTGCCATTTTTGTCTCAAAAGGGGAAGTCCACCGCATGTTCTGCAAGGCCGGGTTAGATGAAAAGCAAAACCTGGTTGATCGTCGCTTACAGGTTAATAGGAAAAAACAAGTGAAAATGCATCGCGTGTGGGTTCAGGGAAAATTCCAGAAACCATCGCACTGACTCAAAATAGCTACACATTGTTGTTTTTACTCCTTTCTTCTGACTGAACTATGTACCATGTTAAGGTACAAAACCAGAGGACTGTATTATTCAAAGACCCCTGCAAATCTTTCACTTCTCAGAGACAATGAGGAAAAGAAGAAGAAAATTTGTGTTTCTTGCTGTTTTATCATGGGTGGTAATAAAAGTACACCATTTTTTCTGTTTTTAAAACTTGATATGCACAAGTTTATTTGGGTTTCTTACATTTAACCATTTGTCCCTTGAATTTTATAAGCATTGAACTAAATTACTGATATAAATCAGATGATTCTAAGAAACCATACTGTTATATGGCATTTTTTTTAGAAGTGGAAAGAAAACTCCTTATTTATGCATTAGGCTTGTAAAGCATTTCCCAAACAGTCAAACTCTTCTCCATTGTCAGCTGATAGCAGAGAGGGAGCATGCTTTATTTCTAGGGAGAGCTACAAGCCCAAGATGGAGGTGTATTTTGTTGTTTTGTTGCCTGTTTTCTACAGATTCTTTTTTTTTTTTTTAATTCAGAGACTAATGTCTGAAATACAATTTTAGTTTCTCTTTCTTTCCTAAAATTGGGGAAGTATAGCTCATGCTAACATTACTTTCAGGCTATTCTTAGATATACAAGTTGTAAATTCCCTTTGAGACAACTGTGATACCCAAGAAAGTGCTTGTAACAATTAGAAATTTATTTACTACTTGCCCCCAAAAAGGAAATATGCTGGCTTGCAAATTATACTTTGTAAAAATGGAGTTTCTAAGATGGGTCTTTCATTACACAGTATTTACTGAGTTCTTACATTATGTGGAATGAGCATAAGTAGGGTCTAACTGGAAAAGCAAAATGTGCATATCCCAAATCTTTAAACATGATATAAGATAACACATGAACAGATACTCAAATGAGAAACTTACTGGCTAGTAAACTTTGGTTGTGAGTCACAGAAATCTGGGAGAAATAGGCAGTCTCTCGAAAGGAGCACCATTGGAATAATTCACTTCCAACTGTTTTTCCTTTTTAAAAAATCATTTGAAATTCAATTCCTGGACGAATATAGTCAGTCCAGCTTGGGTCATTGGTTTATCTGTTGACAGGCTGGGACAGGCAGTTCCTTAGTTGTTGGTGCCACCAGAACATATAAAGTGGGAGAAAGTTTTTCTAAGGAAAATCAAGACACTGATATTAAAAAACAAACAAACAAAAAAAAAAATGCTCAGTCACCATAAACACATCACATACTAGTGGTAGCAGTAGTCATAGTTCCAAGGAGAGAGAGATAAGCTGTGAAAAAGAATGGGGAAGAATAAGGCTCTGGAGGAAGCAGGCTTCTGGTTAGTCCTTGACCTGTTCTCACAATTTTATGAGAAGTCTGTTTGGTGTGGGACATTAATGATGAAGAATGGTGGAGAAAGAATGGGAAGAGAGTCCACTTGTAAATAACCTAGAAGAGCAGGTATTTGACTTCTAGTTTCTGGACTGGAGCCATTGGTTTGTTTCTGTTTCATCCCAGCCATGATGTTTTATAAATGTATTTAGAGAGATTTGTTGAAGAGCTGTCTATAAAATAGAATAGAGTGAGGTTAGACATCAGTGACAAGGAAGACCACAGAAAGATTTTTGCATAAACTTGCCTTGGTGGCAAGTCCTTAGAAGTACAGTTTTCAAGGTTTCTGTTTAAATATGTATAATTTTGACTTTTACATTTACATCAGCAAATGTAAAAGTCAAAATTTGCCTGAGACTCTTAACTCAGTTGTATTTCATAATTAAACTGTGCATTTAAAAGCCAAACTAGTCATGAAAGTATTACATACAACAAGGGCAGTTTAGATACGTTAATGTTGCTATGGGAACCCCAGCAGATCTTGTGTCTCCCTTTAAAAACCA